TCAGAAAAGGGCGCCAAAACCCCAGCAGTTCTTGACTTCAACACTCAAAGTCAAGGTCTGGCTCTAGAGGGCGCCCAACATCAAGACCATGCCAAGCCGCCACACAAAGAGCGGAACACACCCTCGTCCAACAGAGAACGAGACTCCCATGCTGGTACCCGACCTAAACAGAGGAACAACCGCTGGGATGGACCGCGTGGACGACAACACTCACCTGGAAGTCACTGGGAAAAATCTTGGGACCAATCCAGACCTCGTGAAAATCAATGGGACAGATCGTGGAATCAGCCAAACTCGTTTGGAAACTCAAGAGGAAAAGGCTCATGGGAATCCAACCTCTACACCACACTGACATAACTTCTGTAATTCTAGGAAAACATATAGCCACCTTGCGTAGACACAACACTTACACACTCTCCTCCGCCGCACTGCTAGGACCAACCTCTAGTAGAGAGGAGGTACTCCACACATGTGACACTCGTTTGCTGTCTAACCTAATTCAGTGTCCTTGTGTCTCTTTGTGTTTTCCTTTACAGCTATATATTTTAATTTTTTTTTTTCGTTTCCCTCACTCTCACTATAATTTCCTTTCCCCTCTAGTCCCCTCATCAGGATTACTGTGTTTTTAAGAGGGTTTAAAGGACAATATTTAGATTTAACTGCACTGATGTTATTGAATGAGAACAAAATTTGAACTGAATTCTAACTTTGTAACATCAAAAGATATTGAACTGAATTGAATCAACATTGAGCTGAAGTAAGATGAATAAATGACACTATTGTCTTCTGCAGAGCTGATTTATAGCTGAATTTGTTTTAGAATTGATACATTTGACAAAATTAACACTGTGATTTTCCTGTTTAAGCTGCTTTGAAACAATCTGCATTGTATAAAGCGCTACAGACATAAATGTGACTTGGCTTAAACATGGTAAAATCTAAATCTAAAATCTGTAATGCACAGACCCTTGTACTTTATTGCATTATTTATTTTTTCTTAGTACACTCTCAGAAAAAAAGGTACAAAAGCTGTCACTGGGGCAGTACCTTTTTAAAAGGTATATCTTTGTACGCTATTTACCCCTAAAGGTGCATATTGGTACCTTAAAGGTACAAAATAGTACCTAAAGTGTACATTTTAGTACCTTTTAAAAGCTTATTGCCCAGTGAAAGCTTTTGTACCTTTTTTTCTGAGAGTGTAAAATGAAAACTGAATTCAACTTGCTTATATAAACATGCAACATAATTACAAACAATATAGTTAATACACTATTTGAAGCATTTACTTTTGCATAATGCACAGCTTTACATACAAATATTTTAACAGTACTACGCCGTATACAGTATATATGGTTATTGTACAATATGCTGTAAGCTGTACAAAAGTAATCCATAGTGAAATGTCTGTTTCTTTTGTGAACTTTATTTTATTCTGATCTGGGGTCAGATCCACCTGCCCAAAAACCTGATCTTAACCTTCACAGGAATAACCATGAAAAGAAAAATCTCAGATCGACATGATAGTCTGAACTGCGAGCAGCTTTTAGAGATTGAGGTGTTAGTTTGCTATAGGACGAGGCCTGTTTATGCAGCAAACATGAAGCGTTTGAAGATTTGAGTGGGCCGGATTTGTCGACAGGAAGTGAAAAGTCAACAGCCAATCAAAAGGAATGTCATTTGCACAACACTGAATGGAATGAGGTCAGCTGAGAACTTTATGACGTTTACCTCAAAGATGAGGAGGATGAGCTGAGCTTTGATCCAAATAAAGTGAGTGACACAAAAACATCATGTTCTTCATGCCAGATCTTGCTCTTTGAGGAGACTTAATGGAGTTATTTATTTATTTATTTATTTTTGTATCAGCTTTGTCTCTGATGTTCTAAAATTCTTTTAAAATTCTACAAATGTTCTAAAATTCAGAAAAATAGCTGTCATGCAGTAAGAGTATCACTGTAAACAATGATTTTTCAAAGTTGTATAGATATAATAGATTATACAAGAAAATACAGAATCTTTCTACTTCAAAATGTCATGTTTAATTAACTGTAATTTGCAGTTTTTCTTTGTAATCTGTGCAATTTACTAGCAATTTGTGAAAATCGAGCTATAAAATTCATGGAATTAATTTGACATTGAGAAAACTTGATGAGAAATGTTTGAGTTCATATTGAGGTCTCTGATATTGTTCAAATCTCTTGTGAAACTACAGAAGAGACACATTTGAGTTTACATGCGAGTTCTTCATTCCATCTCATTGTTATCTAGGAGAAACAACTGAGCTATTAAAGAGATCTCATTTGTGATTTGTGTTTTTCCTACAGCACGTTCTTGTAGAAGACACCTGTGTGATGTACCTGTTGGTGCTTCAGGATCTTCAGGTGGGCTGTTGTGGGAAGCTTTATGGTCTAGTCTTATTTACCCTGAAAAGAAAAAAATGCACTATTATTGCATCTTATGGTCTTAAACTTCATGTGAAGCTCAGAAAAGGAGAGTGTTTTCAACAATTAATATCTCAACCGTCATAAAATCATATTTGATTTTACAGATTTGGCCAGAGGAGGGCGTCCTTGTCCCTACTAATGCAGGAACTAAACCAGCTGAAGTTCATCTGTGAGGGATCTGCAAAGAAAATTATGGAGACTGTAAAGAGAATTTAGTATGAGTAGATAAAACGTTTTACTTTGTGCTTACGGCTAGTTTATCCTTTCTGAACAGCAGGGGTTGTCAACATTATTACATTATGGAACACTAGTTTCCTTGTCTCTCAATTAACATGCTTACCTTTACAACAGCGTTCTGGATTCACTGCAGCACTTTATTGTGCAAAAAAGAGATTTAGATTTTTAAATGACAGTTTTATGCTTGTTAGAAACAAGAAAACATTAAATAAGATGTTATTTCTTTCAACTGTACATTTTAAAGGTGAAATGTGTAGTTCCTGCACCATTAGAATCAACAAATGTTTTAAACGGGTTCCCTGAACCCTCCATTTTTCTCCTATTTGTAAAGAAATTTACATATGCATTTCCCCCCATTTTTCATGCATGCGTTAATGTATGCATGCATGCATGAACTTGTAAAAAAAAAAGAAGAGGTTTTCCTATCATGTAGTGATTTACATTTAAATAGTTATTAAACAAATACACATTTCTCCTACACATGCACAACTTAAGCCTAAAAATAAACCAGCATAAACTTACTTATATAGCCTACATGTATTCATGTATGCATGCATGCATGCATGAATTTGTAAAGAAAGTTTTTTTTGCTTGTAAAAACAAAAAAGAAATAAAATTTAATGAGTGATTCACCTTTAAATAAAATAATAATAGAACAAATAAACTTTCTCCCATACATACATATAAACTTTAGTCTAAAATAAACTTACATAAGCCACCCATTTATAAACATGCAGTGATGTTTTGTGATTTGTAAAGAAAAGTTTATTTTTGCATGTAAAAAAGAATGAGTGATTCACCTTTAAAATACATGCATATAAACTTTAGCCTAAAATAAACGCATAAACTTATGTACACATATTATTGTATGCATGCATTAATTTAAAGTTAATTAGTAATTTACCTTCAAATAGTTGTAGAACAAATACTTTTCCCTATACATGCATATAAACTTCAGCCTTAAAGACATCAGCATAAACCATATATTTATGCAAATGCATTATTGCATGCATGCATTAATTTGTAAAGAAATATTTGAAGAGTTCATTTGCAAAAACCGATAACTCCATTTTTATTCCTATTTTTCAGAAATCACGTTTTTTTTTATTGCGCATTCCAAGTAATATCAATCAAACTGCAGTTGGGTTGTTTTGATTAAGTAATAATAACTTAAACAAATACAGGTAATTTACAAAATTAAAGTTAATTGAAAGTATGTTTTTTTTTTTTTTTACATATAAAAAGTTAGTTTTATAGCAAAAGCAGAAAACTCCAACAGTCGTTTTTTGGCAAAAGGAGATAACTCCACATTTCATGTTTTAGAGTTTAAAGGGGTCATATGATGCTGCTAAAAAGAACATTATTTTGAGAAAGGAAAAATTGAAATCGCATCATATGACCCCTTTAAAAAAACACTCGTTTAATCTTTGTAATCTCCTCAGATGACAATGTAGATGCCTGACAAACGTTGTTGTGATCACATGCAATACACGGAGATTTTCCCTCACCACTGTAATGCGCTGCTTTTGCAAGGTTCCGTGAAAACGTTTCAGCTTTTATTTTCCTTTTTCGCCTTGAAGATATCACAGGTTCATCAAGTTCGTCGAAATTATCCATCCTCCATAACTTTTTCAGCTTTGACGAAACTCCTCTCAGCTAGCACATCTTTTTAAAGTGAAAGTAGCCTTGTCACCTGACCTGAATACAGCACGCTGATTCGCTAAAATGGATTTATCGGTTTCTGTTCAAAAACAACAAGGGCGCTTGTCGGCTTCTGCAGTAAAACGTGAACTTGCGATGCTTTGAAAGTGGACAAAACCGGCTTTTTTGACAAAACGTGTTTAGGGTTCAGATTGAGCTATATGTGGAGAATAATGCAGGCAATCAGCTCATTTTTTTAAAAAGTGGCATTTATCGGTTTTTGCAAATGAACTCTGCATTTCTTTTTGCATGTAAAAAAGACAGATGCAGCTTACAAACGTTACCGTGTGTAAACGCTCGGTGAATAGCATGAAGCGATGATGAAATGCTGGCATTGGCACATTTTTACCGTACGGACATCGGCACTTTTGACAACACTACATAACATGCACACATATGCACAATCTTTAAAAAAAAAACAAATTCTGTACATGCAGTACCTCTATGA